CTCTTGGATCAGAGAGAGTCCAAAGGAACTAGGGGCAGCCCAGTGACACTGTGTACCCATGCATGCGCTATTTGTGTTCATGCTTGATTCTAGAAAGACCACAGCACAGGTGAGTGGGTGTCCAAGTACATGCATGTGTGTGTTTCAGAACAAATAAACACATGGTTTTGTGTGGTCACTGCAAGATACACACATGAACCTTGTACTTTCAGGCTTCCTATACAAGCATATGGTAATTGTCGATTATCAACGTTTATTTTGGGGTGCACACTGGTGGTCTCAAGAGTCACTGGCTTTGGATGGGGGCTCAGGGGTTGCCAAGCAACCTTGAGTTCCTGAGAGTGTGGCATGTTACCTTCCAGCCCAGCTGAAGCGAGGCAAAGCAGAGGGGCTGCGGTACCTCTCCAGAGGGCCCTGCTCTGGCTCCCCAGGCCCGAGTTCCTCATGGTGGATTCAGCCGAGGCCGAAGGTTCGCTTCCTGAGAAGCCTGCGGGACGCGGGCTGCCTCACAGCGCAGGCTGCAGGCTAAGGACCGGCTGCTGCCGCGCTGCTCCGCGCGCAGGGAAAGTGGAGCTGGGCCTGGATGGGAGGAAGGATTTCCTCGCCTCTTGGGCGCGGCCGCTCCGGCAGGGCCACACAAGTCCCCCTTTGTGGAGGGCCCTGCTCCTGCGCACACCGAAGTCAGCGAACAATAGCGCAATGTTGCCGCCGTTGGCCCCGCTCTCCCGGCCACACCGCGGCGGCAGAAGGCGAGGAAACCGGGTGGCGCTTTTTTATAGCCACAAATATAAAATCGGGGCTTCCCCCCCTTTCACTCGCCTCTTGCCCCAACGCCGATAGAAAGCAGATAAATTTATGAAGGGCGAGCTAAGAGAATAATTACAGGGTGACGGCCGTTAAATTTTATTTCCAGTCCCAAAGGCAAAACCTGTGATTTTATTGCAAACATCTGGAAAGACCGAGAGGTGGGCATGCTGCTGGTTTAAAATAAAAATAGAAGATTTTTATTTCTCGAAAACAAAAACCATCATGAAAGACCTTTTGCCCCCACGGTCTTTTATTTTTAAAAAGTGTGAGGGGGGTGGTAGAATAGACAAGGATGCACGCGGCCCGAAAGCCCACTGGGACCCTCGAGAGGCGCTCTGCTGCACCTCGGGCCGGCCGCTTGGTCTCCTGAACCGACTTTAGGCGGGCGTCTCCAGAAATCTGCTCCTTCCCCTACGCCGCCTCGGACCACTCACGCAGCCCCTTGCGTGCTCTCCTGTTGCTTTGGGATGCCAGTTTGGGAAAAGAAGTGAAAAGTGGGAATGCGGGCTTCATATTCCCGAAAGATTCCATCAGAGCAATAGTAAAACCTTACTTCTGTGCAGTCCTCAGCCTAAGTGTCTTCTTTGCTGTGTGAACTGTAAATCATTTAGGACGCCTTTGCTCTGAGACCTGGGAAGGCACACTGGGCTGTTAATAGACTTGCCTAAGGTCACACAATTGAGGTTTAAAGCAGGCCTGGTCCCAGGCTCCACCTCCTTTGGAGTCCCCATGACTTCTTCCCACCCCAAAGTGCCTCATAATGTTTTACACCTACCTTGATGGCCAAATTCGCTACAATTCCCTTTCCCCCACACCAGCCTAATATGCCCTGCTGGTCAACTGTCTTTAACTTTGTTTGCAATTACTGACTCAAAACTCCAAAGTCAAAGCCAGCTGGCAGATCACCTTAGTATTGTGGTATGAGCAGGGGTGGAATTTAAGGTGATATTGGCTGTGGGGAAGTGGGAGAGAAAGACAGGTGTATGGACAACGCACAGGCTCTTTCTGGGAATTCCTGTTTGTGTTTGTGACTCTTCTCTTGATGCTGCAGAACTGTTTTTCCTCTGAAAACTTAGAATATCTGGGCAGTTGGAGGTGAGCACCGGGTTGCCCTTCCCTTCCTGGCTTGTCTCCTGCCAAGGCTAGGTCTGGAACTCCACTTCCCCGTGGGACCCGACAAGTGAGCAGTGAGACCTAGGGATCTGGATCTCTGACTTTTGAGGTGCCTGACAGTGTCACCTTCTCTTCCTCTTTCAGGTCCTGCAGGGGCTTGGGGCCATCCAGCTTGATCCTTGTCAATCAGCTTCAGGTCTAAAAAGACCAGAAGTGACTCATCACTAGTAGGGGCTGCCTTGAACAAAAGATTGGAGCCTTCCAATGGGAATCTGGGGAGTGCCTTGGGCATTAGTTTCATATTGGGGACCCCACTCCTACCCCTAAAGGTTAAAATAGAAACGGGAGTCCTTTGAGTAATAATAGAAGTAATATGCAGACCACACTACCACATTTGTACATACATTTAATTTCCACAATCCTCCCTTTCCCATTGCAAACTGCATACTCTTATACACTTAAGTCATAGGTATTTAAATCATCTTGCTTAATCTTTCTCCAGACTTTCCTCTCCATCAGCCCAGTTACATACCAAGGAGTGCATGCCCTTGGGGGAGAAAAAATTAAAGTCTGTAGTCACACACACACACACACACACACACACACACACACACGCACACCCCCAAAACAAAACAAAACAAAAAACAGGAGTTGCCTCCCGTTTACCTAGAGCAACCTTTGTTTCCATGACTGTTCCAAACCATCTTGTCTTCATCTGGGTCAGTTTCTCTGGCCTAACTCAAAATTCCAGAATAAGTGTGTATATGGGACAGGATGGGAGCAAGGGGTGGGGTGTGGGAGCAAGTTTTCTGCAACCTGAACTCTGCTCTCCCCGGGGTTTGGGGTGGGGTAGTGATGCTTGTCATTGAAGGCTTTGTTCCATCTTCTGAGACATTGCATCTATGGGCCGGGCCGCTATGTAGGTTCAGGCCTCTAGATCTCCATTTTTGATGCTGTGTAGCCCAAAAGCTGTCTCTTTTTGGAGGCAAACTGTTGCCTGCTCTGGGAGGGTGTGTGGCCTTCGTCTCAGTTCAAACCAGGCCTTTGAGAGAGAAGGGAAGAGGCATCCAGAGAGAGATGGGAGGTACAGGCAATGGAGCAGAAGGAAAGACCTGGGCAATATCTGGAGGGTGACCCTTCCTCACCAGGCCTGGTCCAGGCAGACACCAAACCACCTTCTGCCAGGCAACACCAAATTAGGAGCCCAGAGCGAGGCCTGAGCCATGGGGAAAGAGAAGTACACACTCCAGGCCTGCCTTTTCTCCAACATTTTGCCTGTTGAAAGTCAGGTCACTTTCAGCCTCAGCTTCTGCACTGCAATCAGGCCGGAATTTAATTCTGCAGGCAGAAGGGAAGGCCCAAGTCAGGTCTGGGTAAATCACACCCATCCCCTGCCTTTCAGCATCTGGTGGGCCACCAGCGTCTTCTCCTCCCAGTTGGAATCCAAGTTGAGGAAGATCGCACTGAGGCCGGAGGTGTATTCACAAATGCTCCGTCCTAGCCTCCGGCACCGAAGTGCTTTCGCTTATAAGGCAAGGGCTAACTTTCCTTGGCCCCTGGAGGTCAGCAGGGAATGTGGTGTTTCAGAGGCCCCACGGGCTGTCATTTTTCACGGTCAGGAGCTGGCGTGTGTGTGTGTGTGTGTGTGTGTGTGTGTGTGTGTGTGTGATTTTAACATGCCGTGGACACCCTCAGGCGGGCGTAAACTTCCAGATTCAGACCCTGCTCGAGGCCTGGCTTCCGGGAGACCTATTTGCTGGACCTCTCGGCCTTCCGCCTCCCGCTCCGGACCGGACCAGGCTCTTTCTGGCTTCTTCACTGGGGGATAGATCCCTTTTAACCAGGGCGTTGGGAGCAAAGATGAGACTGTGTCTAGTCCGCCGCCCGCGAAATCAGAGATGTTGTTCCAGTTTGGCAGGAGCGACGCGCGAGGTTGCGCTCTGGGTCTCTAGCCACCAGCGACCAGCGGCTGTACCTTGGGGAGGGCGTGTGAGATGAGAATGGTCAGGAACGTTGGATTTTAAGTCCCTTAAACGATTCTAAGGAACAGTCTCTTGAAAGACTTAAAAAAGAGGGGGAAAGGGAAGATGGTCAACGGGGCGAGGAGGGAAAGCTATGTATGCTCTGGAGGTGGTAGGATTGAAAAGGAATTTTGAAAACTCTCCTCAGTTACGAAAGCTCCTAGCTAGCTTTGCCCGGCGAGTATTTGCTGCTAGCGGGTCGGGTGGCAGTGAGCGCTCAGGACGCTCCTGCTGCGGAGAGGCTCCGTGTCTCCTCCTCCACCAGGTACCGCCGGAACAAGGAGGCAGTCTGGATTTTTAGTTACAAGATCCTGCATAGTAATGGAGCTTTTTTGTTTCGTTTTGCCTTCACCAGAGCTGCTTACAAAATATTCAGCAGGAACCTGTGTGGTGAAATCTGGGCAGAACCGTCAAGTCTAAAAGCACCTGGGACAGGCATGAGACTATCAGAATCACAATCGTTTCGGGCCTTTTCGGGGCAGATTAACGTTTTGTCAGAGACCCCCAAATTCTGGATCTGCAATTAAACATGACTATGGACTCGCAGTGTTTATAAGACCCAGCATATTTGGGTGGAAAATGTAAGGATTTGGGCTTGGCTGACGTTTGTAACAAAGCAGATTAGACCTCGACTTTCAGATCTCCTTTCTCCCCACCTCTAGTAACCCATGGGGGACCGGGAAGCCAGGGGTTAAAGTAGGCTCCGGAGCATCCCGGGGACTACCAGGAGCAGCCCAGGCCCGAGCCTCAGTCTCTCCCTTCTTCTCATTGGCCCGCGCTCCCAGGGTTTCTCTTGTTCCCTTCTTGCCATTGGCTGGGGGCTGGGTTTTTTCCCCCTCAGTCTTTTTCTTCCTCCCCCCTCCCTCTCCCTCACCCCTCGGACGGGAGCGCACTGCCGGCCCCCTGTTCCTTGGGAAGGGAGGAATTTAGAAAAAAAAAAGTTTCCCAGAAGTTTGGATCAGAGAAAGGACGGGAAGACCGAGAGGGAGGAGAGAAAAAGAGAGGGTGGAGAGAGAAGGGGGAGAGAGAGAGAGAGAGAGAGAGAGAGAGAGAGAGAGAGAGAGAGAGAGAGATTAATTTTTAAAAAGATGAAGCACGGCCGGCGCAGCCAGTGAGCGCCTTCCCAGTGGGTAGGAAGCCGGACTCGGCGCTCATGCAGCGAGCGGGCGGCGCTCGGAGCGCTCGTTCCTAGAGGCTGGGGCAGCCGGGGGCGCCGGCGGATCCGGCGCGGAGGGCGTGGAGGACGCAGGGGGAGGGTGCAGAGCACCAGCGGAACCGCCGCCTCTCCCCGGCCGGGCCCGGCGGCGCTGGGAGCGTGAGGGCGCAGGCTGCTCCCTCAGTAGCGGGGGTGAGCGGGGGCCGGGGTGCGGGCGGCTAAAATGAGTGAAAGGAGAAGATCTGCAGTCGCCCTGAGCTCTCGAGCACATGCATTCTCCGTTGAAGCCTTGATCGGCTCAAATAAAAAGCGAAAACTGCGAGACTGGGAGGAGAAGGGGCTGGACCTGTCCATGGAGGCGCTGAGCCCCGCAGGCCCACTCGGAGACGCGGAGGACGCGGCGGCGCACGGCCTGGAGCCCCACCCGGGTGAGTGCCTGGGCTCGGGCTGCGGAGCGGACGGAGAGGGGAAGCCCAAGGGCGTCCGCGGGCGTGGAACAAGGCCCCGCCGCTGACTCCCTTCCTTGCTCCAACGCGGGCTTCTTTTTCTTGGCACAATTGCCCCGAGCTTCCCTAAATTCGCCGGAACCAAGAGCCTTGCCCTTTCTTCGCCAAGCTCAGGCAACCTCAGGCCTACTTGCTCGAACCCCCTTTTCTCCCCAGAGCAGAGCACAGCGTTGAGGTGCGCGTTGCCCAAGGGCTGCAGACTCCTCGGTTCCTTTCCGGGGGGCAATGAGGGGCAAGCTCGAGAGCTAGGAGGAGCTGGTAGTTGCTTCTGAGAGCCGGAGAGGACTGGCGCGACCTTCTGAGACCCTGTATTTGAGTCTCGAGAAATGCCCAGTGTGTCTCATTTAGCCTCCCTCCAGTCTTACCCTCGCCCTTCTCTCAACTAACTTTTGGATGACTGACGGAGTGTAATTATATTTCTACCTGGCTGGAGCTGAGGTTAGACCTGTTGCAGTGCACCCTAGGCCACAGTTGAGAGCCCACATCTCTGTGTGTTCTGGGTAAGGGATGGGTGGGCTAATTCGTGTCCGGATCTATGCGTATTCTGGGCATAGAGCGTGCGCAGAGCCCATAAAACGTAGGACGAATGTCGGTGTCTGTATTTTAACAGAACCTCGGGGTGGGGTAACGTTTGTGTGAAGTTCCAAGATTTCAACTGTGCAAAAACAGCTCTGGGGGACAGCTGTTGTCAGAAGAACCTTGTGCGGCAAGCACACGAACACAATGCTCGCTCTCGCTTGCAGCTTGGTTTAAGGGCTTTAGAAATTTTCCAGCTCTGACTTCTGAAGCCACGCTGGAGGTGTTCGTGCTGACCAGCCAGGGCTAGGGACGAGACCCCGCCAGGCTTTGGCAAGACCCGGCCAGTGAGTGGGAGTGCCTGAGCCCAGGAGCTTGGGGATCCCAGCTGGAAAGTTGGCCAAACCCGAGGAGGGACAGCTGTCGCTTACATTTTCTCTTTAGGCAGTGACAGTTCAATTTCCACGCTCCTGAGGATAATAATAACGCGATTAGCAAGTGACCTGCAGAGACCGGGTTTTATGAATTCTCCGTGTTCTTGTGGCCCGTTATGGAATTTGAGTTTAGTGCTGGGGAATTATTTTTATTAGTCGATGAAAGGAAAATTAAAAGGAGATTTATTTTGTCCATCCTGGTCTTTCTCTGTATTTGGATGCGGGTTTATGTCCACTCAGACCCCTTCCTGAGCAATCTAGGAAGGAACACTTGGCTAATACATTTCCTCTGTCTGCTCAGTCTGTTTCCTCACCTAATTTATCTGTTGTCAGAAATCTCACTAGGGTCTTCCTGCAGTTAGTGGAAATTCTTGTAGGGCTTATGACAACTTGTGACTTAAAAGGTTCTTTTCATCCTATTTTTGGGCCAGTGGGAAAAGCAGAAATCATTTAACTGCGCGTGGCCGACCCCCTGTCGGCGGGAACACTTCTCATGGGAGGCCCCAGGGAGCCTGTCTAGGGTCCCATGTTCAAAAGATTTAGTCATAAAAAGGGACTCAGCTCAGTTTTCCTTTTCTGCCGGTGTTCCGGGGCGGAAGTGAGGAGAGAAAAGTGAGAGTATCCAGCAAAGATGGACTTTTTCAGAGGTTTCAATGTGGGGAAGTGGTCTCCAGAATTCTAATCCTTAGCTCCTGTGGGAGGGGCTGGGATGGAAAACCTTACAGAACTAACTTTATGTTAAGAGGCTATTGGTCATTTCTTAGTATCACTTACAAAAGAAGATGGGCATTTGGAATGGAGAAAACAAAATATATTTGTGGGCAGGGAGGGGTCCAGGAGGAGGAAGATGCAGCAGAGCCACTGAGGGCTTTCTACAGAGCTGGGCCACAGGCTGTCCGATCGGGTCATGGGCAGAGGGGCTCCCTAAGTTGGCGCCTGGCAGTGGCTGAGCCTTCCCTACAATCTGGGCATAGGAGAAAAGAAATTTCAGAAAAGTGGCCTCTGGACCACAGCAGAGGAGGGGGAGCTGCAGGCTGTGGTCCCAGGCTGGAGCAGAATTGGTGACCAGGGACAGGGGCCTTTTTAAGCCTTTACTTTCTCCCCCCCCCCCCATATATATCATCCTAACGAAGACACAGAGCCACATTTGAAGATATGTGTATGGAGGAGTAATGCAGGCGACCCCACTGGTGTAGGGCAGTGTCTTAGCCAGGCTGGGACTCACAATTCTGTTCAGTCAGTCTGCTCATGGTTAGGGCCAGGGGTTGCTGCCTGGCTGACCGGCCTTAGGCCCATAACAAGGCAGGGACAAAAAAAACAAAAAACAAAATAAAACACAAATAAAAGCAAAATTTCCAGGGGGTTGGGGGAAGAAATGCACACACACACACACACACACACACACACACACTCACACACACACTGAGCAGATTAGGCAGACCAACTGTATTTATTTGTCACCCTTACAATTACCTCTTACTGACTGGCACTGACTGTTTCCAGTCTGCTACGTTCAACCTGAACACCCAGGATTCTCCTACAACCCAAGGCTCAGACTCGAAAGCTTAAAGTTAAGTAAAAGAAGCGGCCTTTTGCTGTTTTTCCTTCTGCGTCCGGGCAGAGCTGGCAGCACCAGCACCTGGGGCACCAACCTGCAGCAGCGGGGGACCAGCCCGGCCTGCGAGCCTTGGGCATTCACCCGTCAGAGGTCACAGTATGTATTTCAAAAAATTCCACTGAGCCTGGGGATCCCCCCCAAAAACAGAGGGCCCCCGAGATTTGGAGGGGACTCGAGAGGTACTTTCACCGTCCTATCCGTGTCCACAAGCGTTCTCTTTTGGACATGCCGCTAGGAAACAGCCACCCATGGTGGAGAGGGTCTCAAAACCTCTTTCTGAGGAATTTGGGTACGGAGCCTGCTCGCCCCCGCCTCTCCTTAAGCAGCAACAGGAAACTTTGTAGCCAGGATAGGCCGGAACAGCTGCTACGCTGCGGCCTCGGAAGTGTATTTTGAGCGCGCGGCGGCGCCATTTGCGCTTCGACCCCATGCTCTGCTCCACCCGGTACCCCCGACTCTGGCTTGGGCATTTCCCGCCCGAATCCCGAGCGGGTCTCCTCGGGTAGCCAAGGCCGGGTCTCCTGCGGAGCGAAATAATTCAAACCTTCTGCGGGGGCTGGGGGGGGGATTTCCCTTCAGAGCCTGCAGGCCTGAGCCTTGCAGCCGTGGCGCTCAGAGGCGCGGGGAGGTGGCAGCGCACGCGAGTGGGGGCGCAAGCACAGGCACACTGAGGGGGACACGCTGGGGAGTCGGCGCCCCGCGCACACGAGCACACGCGCAGGATCTCGCATTCCAGGCCGCAGCCTCCCACGGCATCACCTAAGTGAAAGGAGGCAGGAAGAGTCCAAGCCCAAAGGTCGGCTGCCCCAGCATCTTCTCCGCAGTTACAATCAGCTGGTCACATGAATTAATCTTCCACTGTATTATTTGTTTGCTCTGAGTAAAACTGAGATTTTAGTGCTGACGCTACCTCTTTGTACACCCACCTCCAATAGGGAAACGGGTGAAACGGAGGAAGTGACTTTTTACTAACCTTTAAGTAACGAATGAAGAATGATGAGTTGGAAGGCAGCAGAGAAAATGTGCTTGGGCCAGCGCAAGCACCAGCCGGGGCACAGGCCAGGCTCGGAGTGGAGAGACAAGGTGTGAGGCATTAAGCCCAAGGCTCGCGGAGCAGAGGCCGCGCCAAGGACCCTACTCCTCACTGCGGGCCGGGCCGAGGCCCAGCGCACCTCCTGGGTGCAGCCAAGCATGGGGCCTGCTGGACGCCCGCGAGGTTCCTGCCTCTCCGGTCAAAATGGCCTTCCACAGAGACCACCTCTTGGGTAAGCGACCTTGCGTGACCGAGAAAAGAGCGAGAACGGAAGGATTGAATTTGTCACCAGCGGGTGAGAACGAAGGAGACTTCCAAGCCTCCTTTCCAAGACGCCCCGAGGGCGCGCGGGTTGGGAGAGAGCACCGCACAGGACCCTCCTTGGAAGGTTGTGGAGACGTTTTGTTGAAACTCGGGCCCTGGAGCGGCACACTAGAAGTCAGTAGGAAAAGGGGAGTAATGCTTACGGCTCGGCTCATCTCAAAGAAGTGACAAGGGCAGGGATGACCGGGATAACTCCGATGCTCCGGGTTTGGGCTGCTGTCCAGAGGAAGGTGGAGTGTGCTGTGTGTTGGTTAGAATGTTCTTCTTCCCCCCTCACTCCTACCCATTCCCAGGCTTCAGAAGCCCGCTCGACCGGCTCCGGGGTAACCAGGGTAACCAGGGGCGAAGGTGGTGCTGGGGATTGTCTCTTCTTCCTTCGATGCCGCGAGGTTCAGGGGGGCCCCCTCACTCACCTCTGTCGCCCCCCTGCACCCTGGAGCCCTCGCTCTCACCGCAGATGCCAAACCTGTGGCAGCAAAGGCTTTCCCCGGGCAGATCAGCCACAGCCTCGGGGCGGTGCAGTTCTGACTTCGGTCTGGTCTTTCACACCCCACCCAAGTGTGTCTTGTTGAACACTATATTTGGATTCCCAGCTGGCCACTTCGAGTTCACTAATTTTATAGATGAAATTCTCAGAAAAGTTCACGAGGAGATGCTTATGCAGGGAGGACGGAAGAGTTAAATTTCTTAAAATGGAGCTGGGACTGAAATCAGATTGACACAGATCTGCTGTCGTTTTCTTGGCAGCTCCGCATCCCCATATCAATTATTTCAAATCGTATTTTTTAATCATGAAAAAGTTAGCTGAAAATATCTTTCCTACATAGAGCATGTGAAGAGCGAGTGAAGAATATCATTAAGTACCTAATCTGTGGGCCCAAACTAAACTTACTGGGTATCAGTGGTTTGTGCTTCCCATTTATCTGTATAATGTCCTCTGCCTGTGTGGACACGAATCTAATGGGAGCAAGTACCTCATCATTAATCCTCCATATTG